TAGCGATTAGTATAGCATCGGTAGAAGTAGGATTAATGGTCTGTCTGTCAGTAGTGTAACAATCGTGAAATTGTCAGACTGAAAGACAGCCATATCCAGCTTCTTCTTCCATACCCTGACTCATATCTCTTCATCTAGTGACCTGTACTGACTCCGAATTGTTCTGGGAGTGCCTGACAGTATTGCGTTGGATCCTGTATGTTCATTCTCTGAATTCTATGCTGGAAAGGTAGTAATACTGTGGATTTGAGTTTGACGTTGGGTCTATTTATCGTCTAGGCTACCTAGGGTCAGTCATAACTCAAAATCTGACTGTCAGAATCCAAGTCTGTCAGTCTGGGGTGAATCGCAATTCTATTTTTAGCATCCCTGCTAAAGCGCTAGTCAAGAAACAGTGTATTTGGGTCATAACATTGTATTCCTGAAATTCGCCATATCTCGGTGTATTTCTATTGATGTCAACAGTGACGAAATTTGAGTTTGGGGCTGTCAGGGTATAGTTTACGAAGTCGCTGCTACTTGTAATCCTGTTTCAGTGAATTCTTGCCTGTTTCCTTCAATACTACTAATTCTCTCTGCTTTCTGATGGGCTCTGGAATGTTAGTGACCCCTGGAATGCTGTGAATGTGCATTTTGCAACTACAATGAAAGTTCAGTGTCAGGAATAGAAAATCGTTGGTGCATGATTTTACAGGACGTCCAGTCAACCTGACTACTGACCCCATTGGCCCTATTCCAACCCTAACCGCTTGTACCCACTGGCCCACAGACAAGCAGTGATTGCAGGGCATCAGTTTGCCATTGATCAGGCACCCTGAGCCTGTCTGAGTGCCTGACAGGAAGTGGCGAGAATAGGGTTATTTCGCCATCCACCCTCCTGACCTCAGTTGATGACTGGGTCTAGGGAGGCGAAATCTACCCTAATCCAATGATTACTGGCTGGCGGCTTCAATCCCAGCATAGCGCTGAGGGAGGATTGATTGAGAGATCACCTCCTGCTAAATTAACCCTACTCAGGGCTAAATTTAGCATCAGCGGCTCATACCTGCAGTGACGGGAAATCTTCAGGAGAGTTTTCTCTCGCCACTGAGCCAGATTCAGTGAATCTGAGGGTGTGGGGTGAATCGCCACATCATACTGGAGCAGATCATCAAGTTTCAGGAGATTCTGTACGTGGGAAGCTCTGGAAAACTGTCCGCAAGTACTGGCGAGACCAGGGTTGGCAGCCATAGCCAAAGCTTCATCATCCATTGAGGGTTATACTTCAAGTGAGTGCGTTCCATATGAATCCCTGAGTAGCGATTAGTATAGCATCGGTAGAAGTAGGATTAATGGTCTGTCTGTCANTAGCGATTAGTATAGCATCGGTAGAAGTAGGATTAATGGTCTGTCTGTCAGTAGTGTAACAATCGTGAAATTGTCAGACTGAAAGACAGCCATATTCAACTTCTTCCTCCCTACCTTGACTCACATCTCTTCATCTATTGACCTGTACTGACTCCGAATTGTTCTGGGACTGCCTGACAGTATTGCGCTTCATCTTGTATGTTCATTCTCTGAATTCTGTGCTGGAAAGGTAGTAATAATGTGGATTTGAGTTTGACGCTGGGTCTATTTATCGTCTGGGCTACCTAGGGTCAGTCATAACTCAAAATCTGACCGTCAAAATTCAAGTCTGTCAGTCTGGGGTGAATCGCAATTCTGTTTTTAGCATCCCTGCTAAAGCGCTAGTCCAAAAGCACTGTATTTGGGTCATAACAGTGTATTCCTGAAATTCGCCATATCTCGGTGTATTTCTGTTGATGTCAACGGTGGCAAAATTTGAGTTTGGGGCTGTCAGGGTATAGTTTACAAAGTCGCTGCTACTTGTAATCCTGTTTCAGTGGATTCTTGCCTGTTTCCTTCAATACTACTAATTCTCTTTGCTTTCTGATGGGCTCTGGAATGTTAGTGATCCTTAGAATGCTGTGAATGTGCATTTTGCAACTACAGTGAAAGTTCAGTGTCAGGTATAGGAAATCGTTAGTGCATGATTTTACTAGATGTCCAGTCAACCTGACTACTGACCCCAGTGACCCTATTCCAACCCTAACCGCTTGTGCCCACTGACCCACATTGCTCTGTTAATTGACAGTGCAACGAATTTTGAAAGTCTGTGTGTACTTTAAATCGGTTCACCTCCTGCTGTTTTGCTTGGTTTATTTTGTGTTCTGAGAGGGAAAATATCAGAAACCGCTGACACAGGTGCAGGGCAAGTGGAGGTAGTAGTTAAGGATGAGGCCCAAGCCTCACCCTCAACTCCACCTCCCCCTCCTCTGACCCCTGCGCAGCGGCGCAAGAAGGAGATACAAGAGAAACTGCGAGAGCAACAGGCGATGCTCGCAGAGGCAGACAGACAAGAGGCTGCAAAGTTGGAAGCTGCAACAGATGCTTCCAGGAAAGAGCATCTGCTGCAGCAGGCTCAAAAGACTTTTGCGGATGTCAGAGTGGCCCAGTGTACAAGGGATCTGGCTGAGCTGGTACTTTTGCAGGACAAACTTACACCTAGCCATTTCACAAACTGGGATGAGAGGATCCAGCAGCTGGAGACCCGAGTGGCTGATTTGGGAACTCAGCAGTCAAAGATCCTGGATGGCATCCAGAATCTGACTGCTCAGTTAACAGCAGCCAACGTCATCAGCCCCCTGGTCCCTGTGGTCCCCTCTCTAAAGCCCAAGAACCCTTCTCAGCCCCCTTCTCCACCTCCTTCTCCACCTCTTGGGTCTCCTCATTCTTCTCGCAAGGCTTCTCCCTCTGTCTCCTCCCAGGCCAAAGCCACACCTCCTCCCACCATTGCTGCTGTTGTTGCTGAGGACCACAAAGGTCCCAAGATCCTTGCCCCCAACAAATTCAAGGGGGATGACCCCAAGATTGATGTGGGGGACTGGGCAGCTGGAACCCGGGCCTATCTGAAGGGGTTCCAGTGCCCAGAGCAGCAAAAGGTGGCCACCGTTGTGGGGCTGCTGGAGGGGCCTGCCCAGAAATGGGCTACCTCTACAGCAAGTGCCCAGAGTTAGACTTTGGAGGACTGGGCATTGACACTGGGGCCTGACAAACTTTTACAGTCCCTGAAAGATAGGTTTGCAGACAAAGAGAGAGTCCGCAAAGCTGCTAATAAAATAGTACGCCTGGGCCAGCAGCGTTACAACGGCAGTCTGTGGCCTTATTCGTTGAATTTGAGCAGCTGACTTCCACCCCTGGACTGGTTATGTTTGCAGATCCAAGAAGGGGTGTGGAGGAAGAGGAAGGAAAAGGGAGTCTGCTTGAGGTGTGAAGGTCAACACTTTCTCAAGGACTGTCCTAACATGCCTAGCCCAACTCAGTCAAAAAACTGAATCTGAACCTGGGGACAACAGTTCCCTCCAGTGCTGCAACTGCGTTTGCAGCTGCAACAGCTTCAGTTGAGACTTCTTCCTTCCCATCCAGTATTGGAAATTTCACGGGCAGCATACTTCACGTATGAGGATCATGACCCGGATCAGGAACCGGACCAGTCTGAGTTGCTGACTCTTGCTGCTTTTTTCTTTCATCTAAAGGAACAAAAGCAGAACAAGTCTGAACTCATCCTGCTTCGGCCCCTGATCAACCACACTAGGATCAAGGGGTTATTGGACTGTGGAGCCACCCGAAATTTCATGTCTCCCAGTGCAGTCAAAAAACTGCATCTGGGCATGAAAGTGGTGCAACTGCAGAATCCGCTGTAGGTCAGGATAGGCGACTCCACTGTCTTGACCATCAGGGAGAAGGTCAGGGGTATCCCTGTTACCTTCGACAACGCTGGAGAAGTCAAACATAGTCTGAACTTCTACATCTTCCCTGACCTCCCCTTTGATCTTGTGTTCTCCATGCAGTGGCTGAGAGCAGTCAACCCAAGGATCGACTGACAGATCCCCAAGGTTGAACTGCCAAACAGCAAAAGGGTGTATCAGAGCCTTGTATGATTGCAGCTGATCACCACCCTAAGACATCTTGCTTCTGCTTGAGAGCGAGAGAGTTCTATGCTCTCTCACGCCAGTACGATCACGAGCGCCTGTTCATAGCTCTGGTCAAGCAGACAGACGCTCCTACTCCCTGTCCTCCTGAGATACAACAGGTTGTGGACCAGTATGCTGATCTGATGCAGGAGCCCTTTGGATTACCTAACCGGCCAACGAAGCATCACATTGAGCTGCTGCCTAGAGCGGTCCCTCCCAAGGGCCGCATGTATAGGATGTCACCTGTTGAGCTTGAGGAGCTCAAGCGACAGCTTGAGACCTGACCAGCAAGGGCTGGATCAGGCCCAACACTTCTGAATTCGGTGCCCCAGTCCTCTTTGTTCCAAAGAGAAGTGGTGAGTTCAGAATGTGCATAGACTACAGGGGTCTCAACAAGATCACTAGGAAGAGCACAGAGCCACTTCCTAGGATCGATGACCTTCTGGATATTGTCCAGGGCTGTACCATCTTCAGCAAAGTCGACCTCAACTCTGGGTACCACCAGATTGAGATGGCAGAGGAGGACGTCCACAAGACGGCCTTCAAAACCAGGTATGGTACCTATGAGTACCTGGTGACGCCATTTGGACTTTGCAATGCACCTTGCACATTCCAGACTGAGATGCACCGCATATTCAGGCCGTACCTGGATAAGTTTATGGTTGTCTACCTGGATGATATCTTGGTATTCAGCAAAACTACCAGGGAACATACGGAGCACCAAGCTCTGGTCCTTCAGTCATTACGTGACAGCCAGTATAAGATCAACAGGGAGAAGTCCTCTTTTGGAATTCCCTCTGTTATCGATCTGGTTCATGTGATCTCTGGAGATGGGTTGGCCCCTGAAGCAGCCAAAGTTACTGCTATTCAGGATTGGCCACAGCCCCAGACAGTGAGGGATGCCCGATCATTCTTGGGTCTGGCCTCCTACCACAGAAATTTCGTCAAGAACTTTTCTGCAGTGGTTGCAACCCTGACTAACCTTACAAAGAAAGACACTCCCTTTCTTTGGTCCCTCCACTGTCAGATGACGTTTGTACGACTCAAACAAGCCTTGACTCGTGCACCTGTTCTGAAGTTGCTTGACCCCACTTTGCCTTTTGTACTGACTACTGAAGCGTTGGGGCAGTCCTTCAACAGGATGATGGGAATGGTCTGAGACCTATAGAGTTTATGAGTAAGAAAATCAAGACTCAAAAGTTGCAGGACTCCACCTACGAGAAAGAGCTTTATGCTCTTGTAAGTGCCCTGAAACACTGGAAACACTTTCTCCTGGGCAAAAACACTTTCTCCTGGGCAAAGATCTTTTCAGATCATTCCACTCTACAGTGGTTGAAGTCCCAGGGAGAATTGAACGATAAGCTGGCACGATATATTCATTTCATTGATCTGTTTCACTTTGAACTGAAGCACAAGAAGGGCTGCTACAACAAGGTAGCAGACACCCTTTCTCGTAGGCCTGACTCCTTTGCCTTGATCTCCTCTACTCACTCCTTTGGAGAGGAGGTCCGTCAGACCATTGCTCGTCCTCTGCCTCAGGATCCGACTTATGGACCCATCGTCAAGAATCTGCAAGTAGATCCCAATTCTGAACCAGGTTATGCCCTGAGTTCAGATCTGCTGTACACTTACAGCAGGGGAGAGGAGCTCTTGTGCATCCCTGAGGATCAGCAGTTGCGGACACTCCTGATGTAAGAGTGCCACGATGCGCGTGGACACTTTGGGTTCTTAAAGTCGTATGCGGCCCTGTCGCAGCGCTTCTTCTGGAAGGAGATGCGGAGTGATATGCTGCGCTACGTGAACACCTGTGAGCTCTGCCAAAGGAACAAGGTTCAGCGAAAACCTCCTTTGAGATTGCTCAAACCTTTGCCCATACCTGATGGTCCTGCCCAGTCTCCATTGACTTTACAGACTTAGGCAAGACTACCCCTCGTGGCATGCATCAGGTAATGGTCTGCGTGGACAGGTTTTCCAAATATGCAGAGTTCATCCCCTTGCCAGAGGTAGCCAGGGTACCGGCTGTGAGAGCAGCCTTTTCTGAGAGGTGGGTCACACACCATGGACAGCGCACCTCCATTGTTAGTGATCGAAACCCCAGATTCTGCAGCGATGAGTGGCAGTCCTACTGTAAGGACTATTTACACTCACGCCTGAACATGACTTCTTGTCGTCATCCTGAAGCCAATGGATTGGCTGAAGTGATGAACCAAGTCCTGTTCCAGTTGCTACGTCCTGTGATCTCTCCAGATCAGCAGGGCTGGGATCTCCACTTGGCGAGGGCACAGCTCATGTATAACATGTCTGTCCACTCCTCGACAGGGTTCAGTCCCTACCGGTTATACTGGGGACGCGAGCCACAACGGCCTCTCGATGATATCATCGATAAGGCTAAGCCTGACCTTACCCCAGGCACTGTTGAGTTCGCCAGACGCTATCGTCTGGATGTGGAAAGAGCTCGAGCGAACTTGTTCAAGGCCCAAAAGGCCATGATTGAACAAGCTAACCGCCACAGGCGGCCTTCCCCCATCCGTACTGGTGACTATGTCTGGGTGGCCAGTTCTGAGTTGTCGAGGGAGGAGGATATTTCTCCCCAGCTGTTGCGCGCTACCTGGGTCCGTGGCAGGTTCTAGATACAGTGGGCGCTGATCCCTTCGGTCCGTCGTACCTCATCGACGTCCCGTTGCATCTACGAACCTATCCGGTCTTCCATGCATCCAAGCTGTTGCCTTTCACGCCAGCTGATGCATTTCCTGACCGGCCTCCTCAATGGGGCCCACCAATCCCTGGTAAGGGATATGATGTGGTGGCCATTGAGGATGAGTGGGGCACTGGCCCCGACCGACAGTATCTTGTCAGGTTTGCGTTCCAGCCCCCTTCTGAGAACCGATGGTTCTACAGAAGAGACCTGATCAAGATAGAAAAGTCTGTTGTATTGCGTTCTGAGGCGACTCGGAAGGGTGACCTTTGCCGTTCGCCTCGTCTGCACCCCTAGCTCGGAGGTCCTCGTTCTCGGGGAGGGTAAGCCTGCAATGACTTGCTGATTTCTGCTGCCGAGTTTGACTGCGAGGCTGTATACTAACCTGTAGGGTTAGTTTTGTAATTTTGTTTGGCTGAGGGCTAACCTAGAGATCCGCCTGTGTGGAAATTCGTGAGGGACAGATCTGTAATTTCTGAAAAATACAGACCTGGTACTAACCGAGTTCCTACAGCTACCCTAAAAGGCTGAGAGGCCGAATCAGCCGCGGTACCGGTAGGTCCAGTCAGTCCGGTCTAGGTCTAGGCTAGAGTAGAGAGTCTATAAGTCCTAGAGGAAAATCGATTGGGGACTTTTGGCATTTCATTTTTTCGCGTGCAGCGTTTTTCGGCCAACTAAGTGAACAGCGCTGAAGACCTACAGCGGCACCTGAGGTTTCAGCAGCCGTGAAGCAGCCATAGCCGCCTACCTG